TTTCCTCACTTTAGAGCTCTTAAACCAAGATGTATAAAATTAGCACTTCCTTCATTAAATAAGTGCAACCTTTCTCCCAGCTGCTATTTAAATAATTTCCTAGCTTTCCCTGAAAACTTTGTCCAAAGTTAACTTATCCTCTCCCATCTAGGATTGTCTGCATAGTAGTTTTGCCACCATAGGGCCTGCCTCACCAACAAAAAGCTCTGCCTTCAAACCCACCATCAGATCAAACGAAGAACTCTACTAGATCAAACAAGGACCACCAAAGAGTGGAAGAACCTGCACTATTTCAGTCTAGCCAGGTAGGCACTAGGCATCCTCATAAACTGTCATTTTGCTTTGTTTTGGTGTTTTGCGTACCTAATTAGAATGAAGGCACTGCGCATACAAAGAGTTATTTCTGGCAAGACACACACACAAAAGTCCATACGTGCACAGAGCCGTTTCTTCCAGGGCTTTCCACTCCTATAGAGAGAAAGAAACTCTCACAGACTACGTCAAGAAATTTTCACAGAATCAAATAAAGTATTCTTCCTTCTCATTTTATTGGAAAAAAATAAATTTTTACCATCTCGGAAAAACAAACACACAGAGACCTTGAACTTCAAGACAGCTCAAATCTTCCACAGAACTGTCTTATATAGCTCTATCACAGTATCTGTCACTCTAGACTTCTGTGCGTATCTATCTCCTATTGGACTACATCCTCGGCTAGGGTAGACAGTGTTTTAACCATCTTTTCACTTTAGCACAATGCCCAGCAGAAGGGCTTCAATAAATGTTTGTTGAAAGAATAAATGACTTCACAGAAACTCAGCCTTAATATATTTGGAAGGAGAAAGAAGTAGAATACTAAAGTAGTTAGAAGTGAGAAGGGGGGCTGCTGCTTTGAGATGAGGGAATTTTTGAAAGGTGTAAAGGGGAATAAATGCAATAGCTACCAGAGGAGAGACAAATCCTGAAAGTTAAGAAGCACCACTGCCCAGAAGGGAGACTGGCAAACTGTGACTCTGCCCATCACAGCTATTCCACAGAGGGGAAAAAAATGTTTATATCTGCCATAAAAGCAATGTATAATACTGTGAAGCATCATCATTATATATGCAAACTACTAAAATTAAAAGCATATGGCATGTTTAAAATTTCCTAATATTTCAGTTTGATGCTATGATTGCTTCAGATGGTATATACTGACCATTGCAGAAACTGTAGAATTTGAAGTTCAGTGTAAATGAAAGCTGATTCAAAGAATAAGATTTATAACGAGTTAATGTATTTTTAAATATCCCACTGTCAAGTTGAAGAAATGCAAAGTTAAACTTGAACCTGAAATCAAAATGAAGTAACTTAAAGAAGGAACACTGACCTAAAATCAACCTGTATTTAATTCAGCCAGCCTTACCAAAGAAAGCAGGCAGGAGTAGATGCTTTTTCTGAATGAGCAGTTTTTTTAAGGGTCTCACAGCAACCAGAAAGTGAGTCATTCTAACAAAGCACGGGCTTTAATTAAGATACTATCAGTGTGTCTTGTAATAGTACTACAATGCTAAATGTTCAGTGTTTATCCTCACTTCTAAAATATTATTTATATATTATCATCAACAACTACTGATAAAAAAATATTTCTCCATTTTGTTAAACATTCTCTAACTCAAATGTTCTTTTCAATTCAATTATGGTAAGTTGACACATAATGATGATTTAGACGAGCTAAGGAGTAATTAATTATTTGTTAGAGGTTCTATGACACTGCTGTTACTTCTCAAACTTGTGTTCGTTTGAAAGGCTAGATTTTAAAAGGTGATATTTTAAAACATATTTGAATATGAATAGAACAGTTAACAAAAAGATGCAAAGAGAGGTAGTAATACAGCTTATAAAGATCTAACAGTTAAACCCCCATAAAACCACACCAGACTATAGCTCTGAGAATAAATAGCACAGCCAAACTAGTTTGATTTTTCCAATAGTCTACTATCTATCTGTAAATACAACAGTTCATTTTGTCATAAATCACAAGGACCAAATCATTAAACTTTTTTTGAATAGAAAAATAAAAATGTCTTCAGGTCCCATTTATTTTCATTCCAAAAGAGAATAAATTTCTTGAATCTTAGACTTAAAAGTTAAATATCCCCCCTTTACTGAATAAAATGAGAAATTAGTTTTAGTTAGTAAGAGAGGCAGCATTCTGGCCTTCTATTTTTACATTCTCCATTTAATCCTCCCAAACAATCTCTTTGCTGCTCAAAGTACAAAGGGTTGACCAGGGACTAGCATTATTTCAATTCATTCAGACAATTTTTACGTAAGACCTGCTGTGGGCCAGGTGCTAGGGATATGGTGATGAATTTACATCTCCACTTCCTTGCTCAAATGAGTTAGGCTGGGCAGGTAGGACTATGGGAAGCCGTGCAGCTAGGCATCCTGGAGCAGCACCAAAATAGCCAGGTTCCAGAAAAAAAACAAGCTATCAGGATACCCCGTTTGCTGGCACCTGCATGCTCTACCCTAAAAGGCCTTCCTACTTGCTCTCCTCTGAAGCTAGGGGTTCTACAAAGGCCCCTCCCCTTTTTGAAGGCAGTTGTCCTAAAGGCTTTTCCCTAACCATTCCCACTCCGCTTTATATGCTCTGAAAAGATGCCTGTGAAATTAGAGCTAGGGCTCATGCAGAGCTAGACTGAGGAAGGCTTCAGGTTGCCCATCACAGGCTGAAATACTTCCCATCCCGTGCATATCAATGTTTCTGCACAAAGATCTACCCTATATCTATTCCCTTCTCCAACCGCAGATGTTCTAAAAACTTAAGGAGAGAAACCTGATAAACTGACCCTAACCTGGAAAAACAACTAGTCAATCTATTACATAGTGACATTCCTTGTAAGTATATAAACTAATTTTGGAAGACAGAGTCAGGGATAGGTGTTGGGTCAAAGAACCAACCAGCAGTCCCATTATCAACCTTTTCCTTCTATATAGATCCTCCCTCGGTGTACGTGCTTTGACATATGAGAGGCTATTTTATTCTCTATAAAGGCTATACTATAACGATGATGATAGTGAAAGACACATTTCAGATATTATCCATAAAGTTATAAATACTATAACTCTGTAGTCAAGAAGATAGAAAGGTTTATAAAACAGGTTTGTCGACATTGAGAGGTTTCTATCTGGCTTTGTAGTCACATATTGGGTTAGAAGCCCATCTCTCTGCCTCTTAACTCTGTGAACTTGGACATATTACTTCTCTGTGCCTCAGTCTCCTCATCTGTAGGAAAATAACAAAACCCTCCTCCTGAGGTTTGTGGGGATGAAATGGACCAGTACAAATAAAGGGCTTAGCACAGTGTCTGGTTCAGAAAAAAATGCTCAATAAAAAAAACTGTTATTAGCTACTATTGATCTCAGTTAACAATGTAGACAACAAAATATGTTCAAAAACTTCCTTCATCTGTAAAACCTGATTCCAAAAATTGTTATCTGCCCCATTAGCAAGACCCTGTCGTTCTTTTTTTTAACCCCAGAAGAGAGAAAAAATATTTTAGAAAGATGAGTCTTTTCTATTTTGCATGTATAAAAATAAGTGCTCATAAAAATAAATATACAGACCTCTTCAACCTAACAATGCTAGATTATTAGAAATATACTAAATTATGGAGTAAAAAGTAGTTCAGAATATAAAAACTGGTAAGGCATTTAAATAAACTGAAGGGTAAAGACACTAGAAAAAAACCTGGTTATTCAACAATGACAAAAACAAAGATTTTTACAATATATTTAATAATTTTTTAAATTAAAATGCCCTATTATATTTTGTCATGGTAATTTGTGTTTATTAGCAAATATTTTTAGTTCAAAATCTTGTTCAAAGTCAATACCAAATAAACAAAACTCTAAAATACACTGAATGTATATTAATAAAATATGATCCTGAAAAGATAAAGTTTCATGTGGATCGCATTCCATAACTATAATTTCTCATTCAAAGAAATTTCATATGACATACTAAAAATAATTTCATTATAAAAAATTACTTTTTTTTTCCTTTTTATTGCTTAAAGTATTACAAAGGGTATTACATATGTGTCCCTTTTTTTTTTTTTTTCTTTTTCTGCCCTTGACAATCCCCTGGCCTCCCCTACCCCCCAGTGTCTTATGTCCATTGGTTATGCTTATATGCATGCATACATAAAAAATTACTAAGAAGAACAGAAACACTTTTCATGTTTCTGTGAATTCTAATTGATAGCTAGTTATCTCCTCCAAAAAAATATTCACTGGTATTCATCATTCAGAATATCATTTCTCCCTCTCCAGTTTACAGGCTATGAATGTTATGTGTATGACAAATGCTTCAACATCTTTTCATGGTCACTCAGTCTCCAAATAGTATGAAGCATAGACTGCAGTAAATTACATAACACCGTCATATCAGACAAAGACACAAGGTCTAGTAGAAGCAATTTTAAGACCGAAGAGGTAAGACCATATCACCCTTCCCAAACAGTGGACTGTTTAAAGTCTACAATCCTTATGCTCAGATAGTAAAACTTCACTCTCAGGAAGTTATTGAATGTTTACACAGTACTTTATCATTTTCCCTGGTAGACAATAAAACAACCTAAATATTTTTCTCTAGGGGTCACCTTGCAATAGCCATAAGCATTCACCAAAAAGCACTGCTACAGACTAAAGAAATGAAAACATCAGCCCTGGCGGGGTGGTTCAGATGGTTGAAGCATCCTCCCATACACCAGAAGGTTGCGGGGGTTGGATTCCTTCCCAGTTGTGTCAAGTAGGGCAGGCAATTGATCACATCAATGTTTCTCTCTCTCTTTTCCTCCTTCTCCTCCCTCCCTCTCTCTAAGAATCAATAAAAACATATCCTCGGGTGAGGAATTTTTAAAAAAGAAAGCATCAGAAAAAATAATAGTATCAACTCTTTAGAAGAAACAATTTTTACAAATTAAACAATGTAAAGAAGAAAATAAGAATACAAAGATTGGCCGGCGCGGGATCCGGTGCGGGGTTCGAATCGGCACCGTTGCGGGACGGGCGCGGAGCCATGGCGTCGTCGGGGCCGGTGGGGCCGCTGCTGCTGCTGCTCGTGCTGCTGCTGCTCGTGCTGCTGCTGGGCGCGCGGGCCGGGCTCCCCTTCCGCCCGGGCCGGGGCTGCTACCGGGCGCCGCGCGGGGACCGGCTGGCCCCCCTGGGGCGCAGGACCTACCCGCGGCCTCACGAGTACCTGTCCCCGTCGGATCTGCCCAAGAGCTGGGACTGGCGCAACGTGGACGGGGTCAACTACGCCAGCGTCACCCGCAACCAGCACATCCCCCAGTACTGCGGCTCCTGCTGGGCGCACGGCAGCACCAGCGCCATGGCGGATCGGATCAACATCAAGAGGAAGGGGGCATGGCCCTCCACCCTCCTGTCTGTGCAGCACGTCATCGACTGCGGGATGGCTGGCTCCTGCGAGGGGGGCAATGACCTGGAGGTGTGGTCCTACGCCCAGAGGCACGGCATTCCGGACGAGACCTGCAACAACTACCAGGCCAAGGACCAGAAGTGTGACAAGTTCAACCAGTGTGGCACATGCACGGAGTTCAAGGAGTGTCAGCCCATTCAGAACTACACGCTCTGGAAAGTGGGCGACTACGGCCCCGTGGCTGGCAGGGAGAAGATGATGGCAGAGATCTACGCCAACGGTCCCATCAGCTGCGGGATAATGGCAACAGAAAAGATGGTGAATTACAGCGGAGGCATCTACGCGGAGTACCAGGAGCAGAGCTACATTAACCACGTCATTTCCGTGGCAGGCTGGGGCATCAGCGATGGGACTGAGTACTGGATTGTCCGGAATTCGTGGGGTGAACCATGGGGCGAGCGAGGCTGGATGCGGATAGTGACCAGCACCTACAAAGACGGGAAGGGCGCGAAATACAACCTTGCTATCGAGGACAGCTGCTCATTTGGGGACCCATCGTTTAAGGCAGATGTCTCAGAGAGCAGATCTTTAAGAAAATATCATGAACTTCCGTGGTTTGGAGGATTGGGAGCTGATGTTCAAATCACACTGCGAGGGCACTAAGCACCTGGCGGAGCACATCCCCCGAGAGAGTCTCAGAAGGGATGGCGTAAACCAGCCCAGGCCACTCCCCTGCAGGACTGCAGTGAACCATCTACCTGCCCAAGATGGGATTACAACACATTAATTATGTGAACTGCATTTCTGTCGATTGATGGTTTGGTATTTTCCTTTTGGCAACTGTAGTCTATAATGTGGCATTTATCACCAGTTCTTTTGTCACCTTGGAAGGAATGGGGAATAGAGGGAGACAGCAGTTTCAAGTCGCCCAAGTGATGAATAAAATACGGGATTTCACAAGAAAAAAAAAAAAGAAAAAAAAGAATACAAAGATTTTTCTTTTAAAAATGGTGATGCTAAATCAGATAGAAAGGGAAAAAACACACACACAAGCGGAAAGCCTCACATTTATTTCCTCACCCAGCTGGACAGAGATTTTCCGCCCCAATTAGAAGATATTCAGAACAGGGCCTAAAATGGGTAATAAGCATAGCACAGCATCCGATTTTTATGGCAATGATATTGCTGAGAGAAAACTTGGACTTAAAATTTAACTCGGCTCCACTCAACCAAAAATGCTTTCTGCATCCTAAGCACTCTAGATAGGAGCCTAGAGATACCGAGATGAGTCAAGCACGGTCCTTGCCTAGGGAAATGCACTGTCCCCTGAGGAGAAAGGAAGGAAACTATTATACGGTGCAGTAAGGGCTATAATCAAAGTGTGTACTAAGTGTATAAAGCACCTGGAAACACAATAATGTGTTTATTGTGACCACAATTCTGCCCTAGGAATGCGGGCTAGGGTGAGCACACATCTGAGCTGGGTCTTACAGAATAAACTAGGCAGGAAAAGAGCTGACAGTAGCAAACATTCCAGGATAAGGAAATGGTCATTTTAACCTAAAAAATCAATGCTGACTCTTTGGATGTCTCTAAGAAAAAGGAAAGTCCTGATTCGGGTTGTTCAGTAGCCATAAACATAAAAACCACAATGTCCACAGGCTTGTTTGGTCTTATACTAGTAACACCGCCCTTTGGAAAAGATAAGGACTTGGTCAATAACCCATTCAGTTGAACTATCAATTGGAAATAGTGGAATATTTTAAATGCTTTCATTAGAAACAAAAGCAAAACTGGCAATAAAAGCAAAGGGAAAAGGTACGATAAAATGGAAAGAATTTTGAATGATTCTATAGGAAAAAAAGCAATTAAAATACAATTATTAATAGTCATTCTTTAAAGAGCATCTTAAGTACTGGATAGGACAAACAAGTTGGTAAAGTACATGGGATTCTTCATTCACTGGCTATACTTTAACACCTGAAGATCAAAACAGGCTGTTACTTCTGAAATATAATGGCCTCTTCCTTCCTCTAGATTTTCGGTCTACTTCAGTCTGTGGTTGCCTACATCCTAAAACATGAAATAAATGTAACTGCAAAGACTACAGCCATTTATGTAGAAAAGAAGTTTTTAACTTGCCTTCTGATGTGGACTTTGAATATATAAACAGTAACTCAAACCACGTGACTTAATCCAAAATCTAGGCCGACGTTACCCTGGGGATATTTCTTAAAGGCTTAAACCTGTGGCTCATCTGAGCTTCTTTAGCTCAGAAGTATGGAGTTAAGTATCCTTCCACAGAAAGGTAAGACACTAGCCAGCAGCCTAGAAGAGTTGACTTTCTTCGCTTGAGGGGAGTGATTTATCCCCAAACAACCATTAGGACAGGAGAGCCTCCATGTATAAGAACTGAACACAAACCAAACAGAAAGTCAAATGATTCACTTAAACCCGCTCCTCTTCAGAGGACTGCTGTGACTGCACCGTGTTCCGTGTAATTCCACCAGCTTGGTTCATCTCTGTCAATCTTATGGGCTAAGAGAAAGAAGAGAGTGGCCCTAGAAATGCAGACAACCCAGGCCACCTGACTTACATATGCCTCAAGTCACTGCCCAAACATGCTGGTGACTACCTAGATATCCTGAGTGTTTTTTCATGAAACACCCCAATATCAACTCCTGTCCTCTAAAACGTACACTGAACAAATTGGCATTGTTTTAAAAAACATATTCATCATGTACAATGACCCAAAAGCCCAACCCTCATTTTATAGTTGAAGAAATGAGGCGTGGAAAAGTGTTCTGTTCCATGGGTTGGCGATGATCTCAATTTCCATCCAGCTGTAAAAGATCTATGGTCGGCTCCCTAACAGCTTGGGGAATTTTGCAGTCTACCTTCCTTCAAGCTAAACTTGGAACCTTACCCAAATGTTGGGGGTGGGAGCAGGGGGAGGGCTAGGCAAATGGTCAAATCAGGAAAAACAGAGAAAAGAGAATGAATGGAGACTAGCCAAAATTAGCCTATCTACAACAACTTCTGTCCCAAGACCATCCAGAACCTTATCTGGTTGCCTAGTTTCTCCTCCATTCTGAATAGAGGAAATCGCACGTAATTGTAAGAAAATACACCGAGCCAAGGGGGAAAAAATAAGTTCTCCTTCACTGCTCTAGCAAATCAACCGGCAGGCCTTCCAAAGAAAGGGGCACCTGCCAGACAGTGTTCTGGGGCCAGTTCTACCCTCTCCCGGACCTCAGGGCCATGTCCAACATTTCCCACCTGTGTCCTCACGGGGACACGAGGTCACCATCAGCTGCTCTGTAAGGATGTTGTGGGGACAGTAAGGACCACGACCTTGAACGCCACCTATAAATGGTAGCTGCTGTGACCGAAAAGCTTAGTTGGATCTCTTAGACCAGTGGTTCTCAACCTTCCTAATGCCGCGGCCCTTTAATACAGTTCCTCATGTTGTGGTGACCCCCAACCATAAAATTATTTTCGTTGCTACTTCATAACTGTAATGTTGCTGTTATGAATCGTCATGTAAATACCTGATATGCAGGATGTATCTTCATTGTGACAAATTGAACTTCATTAAAGCATAGTGATTCATCACAAAAACAATATGTAATTATATATGTGTTTTCCGATGGTCTTAGGCGACTCCTGTGAAAGGGTCGTTCAACCCCCAAAGGGGTCGCGACCCACAGGTTGAGAACCGCTGTCTTAGACTTTCCAATTCATGTAATTCCTTTGTCGAGATTAGGCACAAGAATTGCTAGTAAATTTGAAATGCTCTATTTCTTTAAAGAACTCTATTCTCTCACTTCTCGAGTGAAAGACGTCTGAGGTGAATTAGGGAAAAGGACTGACAACCTCCAAGGGGGGGGGGGGGGACCCAGCCCCCTGCACCGCCGGCCCGGAGGGCGGGGCTGCCGTTTCACTCCCCACGTGAACTAGTTTTCCCAAAGCAAACGGAACGCCGTGGCCTTCGGCATCTCACAGCACCTTCACACCCTGACTCGGACCTACGATACACTCGGCATCGCACACCACTGAACCCCACAAAGATAGTAAAAGTTCAACATGACGAGACGGTTTCATTGCAACACAACCAAAGAAAAGGAGCTTTAAGCCAGGTGCCCGGGGGGCAGCCGGAAGGAATCACGCCTTTAAAAAGGTCCCAGAAACAGGTGGACAGGGAGCGAGGCTCCACAGCTCGTGCCGCTGCACTGGGGTCGCTTCTGGCCCGAGACGGGGTTCGCACCCAGACCCTGTCGCGGGGGCCGGGCCAGAGGCCACTCTGGACAGGAAGAGGCCTTCCCGGCCGGGTCCCTCGCTCGAACTTCCCGGGAGAGCCGACCGGACCCCGGCTGCCGGCAGCCCGGGTCTGCTCTCCCCTCCCGGGAGGGACGAGGGCCCTTTGTCCGCGCGGAGGCGGGGGCCGGGGGCCAGGGGCCAGGCGAGCGCCCTCCGTCGGGAAAGTAGGACAGCGCGCACCCTCGTCGAGCCGCCCGCCAGGGCCGCAGGCGGCGCCCTCCGCTCCCGCGGGCTGGGGGGCCCGGCCGCGCCCTCCCGCCGCCGCCCGCGCCCCGCGGCCAGGGTGACCCCGCGCCGCCAGCCTCACCGGGTCGGAGCTCGAGGCGGCCATCGCGGCGGCTGCACCACAGCGCGCGCTCGCCCTGCTGCAGGATGTAGTGGTCCTTGGCTTGGAAGAGCTCCATGCCGGCCCCGCGCGCTGAGGGAGGCGGCGGCCCCCCGGCCCGGCAGGCGGCGGCGGCGGCCCGCGGGGGGCGCGCGGAGCGTCCTCGGCAGCTGGGCCGCCAGGGCCCGCGCCCCGGGGAGCGGCGTCTGAGGGAGCGTCGCGGCCGCGGGGTCCGCGAGAGAACGCACCCCGAAGGCGGCGGGCGGGCGGCGGCGGCAGCCGTGGCCTTAGAGGCCTCTCCCCGGCTCCGCCCCTTGTCCGCTCCGCCAGGCCCCGCCCCCGGCTCCGCCCCCCGAGGGCCCGCCCCCGGCACCTCCCAGGCTCCTCCCCCTGCGTGGCTCCTCCTCCGCCTCTTGCTCCTTTGGGTCGCGGGCCCCCCTTTCCCGCCGCCTGAGTCTCCTCCTGCTTCTGCCGAGTTCCCTCCCCGGGCTCCTGCCCCGCCCCCAGGCTCTTCTTCCCGCTTCAGCCTCGCAGGCCGCCCCCTCCGCCGCCCCCTTCTCCTCCCCCTCCGTCCGGCCTGCCTTCCCGCCCGAAGCAAACGCGGGCAGAGCTCGGGGAGGGCTGAGTCGGGCGGGCCGCCTTCCTCCCTCGTGGCCGTGGGAGCAATGGCCCACTCGTGGGGCCTCTTCGCCCATGCCGGCGGGGGATGCGTTCCTTTCACCAGCCGTGAGAAAAGCCGGGCTGACTTCCTAAGTCCAGCTCGAAACCCCTCCTTCCCAGAGGCATGAGCTTCCCGGGTAGCGGGGTGGCGCCTGGGTCGTGGGGGGAGAGGGAGGGCCCCAGCTGGGCTCTCTGCCCGAGCGGGGCTGCCTTATTTTGTTTGGTGTTTCCTCTTAGAACCTTCTGACGTTTGACAACAGCAGGCGTTCAATAAGTGCACATCAACGAGGAGCGTGTAGCAGTAGGAGATACACAAGTGTTAGCAGCACAGGGCTCTCAACAGCGGGAAGGAAGGCGCAAAGCTCAGACGCCCCCAACTGAGCAGGATGGACCTGAGAAGACTTCATAAAATAGGTCAATTAATGAAGTGGAAGGGATTTAGATCGACGAGGGTGAGAGAGCTGAAGAACCCCTGTGGAAGGAGGAAGCCCCAGTATCTTTGAGCTGTCTATCTTGCAAGGCGAGGTGGCTTCTTGAACAGCCCAGCTCCAGGTGCAGTCTACCTGGATGATTTGGGGACAGTCTTTTGGTCTCAGATGGTAGTTGAATTAAATGACCTTGAATTACACTCCCAGTTTTGTAGATCAGGGAATACTTTCTACCTTCTGCTTTGATAAAAGTAAGAGGGCCCAAATGCAGGAAGGAGGTCACATTATTAATTATTCCAGTCCACACTGATTGGTTGTTGGATTGCCATAGCACAGGAAGTCCCTTGATGACAAAATGTCCTGGAGCCTCTAATAAGTACCACGCTTTCTGGGCTGCCCAGACACCTCAACATAAAGGCCTTAGATGAGTGATTACTAGATCAAATCTTTGTGATGTGATGAACACAGAAAACAATAGAAATAAGGAGATCAGAAGTTTCAGTGGAACCATCAGTTTCAGATCTGTTGAATTCAGGCCTATGTTGACTTTCCTTAGCAAAAAAAAAAAATGTATAAATAGATAATAAGAAAGTCCTTTGAAGACAGAAGCTCTGCAAATTATTTCATTTTTTAATGAACCACATTGCCAGATGTGAAGAAAACAATGCTACTGTAACTGTTTTAAAACAATTGATTAGTTGATTGAAACTTGGCCTGATGTTTTAAATCAGTGGTTCAAACCCTAGCTACTTTTTAGAACCACTTGGGGCTGAGGGATTTTTCAAACCTACCAGGGTTTGGATCTCAAACCAGTTAAACCCGAATTTCACTGTGGTGGGCTCTGGTGTCCGTATTTTATTCGAAGCTCCCCAGAGGGTTCTAATGTGCAGCTGAGGTAAGTGTTAGGGTCGCTGAAGGAGGAACGCACCAGGCCAAAAGGGGTGAAGAATTATGAATTAATTAGGTCATCTGGATACCAGATGGGCTGAGCTCCAAAATGGTGCTGGCACTCAGGGACAAGGAGTCAGAGATTTTAAAGTACTCTAAGCGGGCTTTTTCTGGGCAGAGAATTCCCTGGGCGGGCTCCTGAAGGCAAAGATAATGGTCTTAGCAAGTGGAATGTGGTCTCAGCAAGTGCTAAGCAAAAGGGAATGTCTATTGTGGAGTGGTCTAAAGGTGAGTTCTCAGGGGAGGGGGAGTCCACTCAATTACTCAATCAGACCTAACAGTAAGCACCACGATTTTAAATGAAATTCATTGCAAAAGTCTCCCTGACAGCAGCTTAGCAGAAAACAGCAGTCAATCATTAACTGATACCATTTTGGGGGGTTGCTTACCTGTAAATCCAGAGTGAACAAGCAGAGACCTTAGAGAAAAAAACCTGAAGGAAAGATGCTCCTAGAATCCACCTGGCCTAGTCACTGCTCTCCTCCTCTCGCTCTGAAAACATGCTTGACTTTGGCGTAGTTAGAGCCCTGGCCGAGCTGAGCAGAACCAGTGAAAGAGTAAATATTCTGTCGTTGGCCGAATGCATGTCCCCAGCTACTGCCTCAGCGGGCTTGCCCGCCAGGTGCTCGTAACCTTGCCGCTTCTCCACTCCCTGGCTGGCCTCCCCGCCCTCATCACTCTCCTCCAGCGTCCTAATTCAAGGCCATGTTGCTCCTAAATGGTGTCACCCAGGTTACAGTGGAAAGTTGGTGATGCTGTTCTGTTTTTTAAACGTGAATGAGCATCATACACATTATGCATCTTCTTTTACTTGTATGGTGTGTTTAGACTAATGTAAGTAACTCACAGGTTAGGTTCTAGCCCCAGGGTGGGCAAACTTTTTGACTCGAGGGCCACAATGGGTTCTTAAACTGGACTGGAGGGCCGGAACAAAAGCATGGATGGAGTGTTTGTGTGAACTAATATAAATTCAAAGTAAACATCATTACATAAAAGGGTACGGTCTTTTTTTTTTTTAGTTTTATTCATTTCAAACGGCCCGGAGGGCCGTAGTTTGCCCACGGCTGGATTAGACTTTAGTATCCTCTGGTGCAATTTGACTTTTGACATCATCTCCTCTCACACTTGACCACAGTCTTGTATGGTGTTTGTCTATTACTTTCCTCAGTCATGTTTGTATATGAGAAATCTCCCAAAGGAGAGATTTTTTAAAATACACATACAGTGGGGCCTTGACTTACGAGTTTAATTCCTTCGGAGACTGAGCTGGTTAAGGAGCTCCTTAAGGAGCTCGTTAACTCAAATTACTCTGTCAACTCAATGCAAAAAATCTGCCGAGAGACAGCTGGTATCTCAAAAAACTCGTTAGTCGGGACACTCGTAAGTCAAGGCCCCACTGTATTCTGCCTGCCAGGAGGCTGCTGATTTCTTAGGTCAGCAGTCAGGGCAACTAAAGGCCCATGACACTCACCAGCCAAATTTTTACATTTGACCAATCATCAGCCAATTTCTCATGGGTTTGTCTGCCAGTAAATTTCTCATGGATTTGTGTGCCCCCTCCTCCTATAACTTCATCAGAGACAACTGGAGACGGTAAGTACCACTTTGGAGCACTGCGGCCTATATCAAATAGGAAATTACCTGAGAAGCACCATAGAACAAAGCGGGGGGAAGTCCCTCGGAGACATCATGTTGGTTTAAAAGAGAGAGATCACTTTGCTCACTGGAGAAGACCATCTCCCCTTCATTTTTATACTTTGGGGTTAAAAAGTACTGGCTTTTCGTTGTATGGTCAGATAAAATTGTCAAGGGCCCAAGTTATTGTTTAAACCAGCTATAATAAATCTCCCATGTGTGAGAGAGAGACAGAGGAAAAATGAAATGTGTTTTCTGCATCTAATCTCCCAGAGGAAAGATGAATTAGCCGTTTACAGTGATGATTTCATAGTTGTCTAAAGCCAGCTGCCTCTCCTTCCTTTCTGTTATGCACTTACTTTTCAATTAAAAAAAACAGACGAGACAGTTAAGAAATTAGACCGTTCTAAATAAGCTAATTTCAAAAATATGTCCAACGTATACTATTAAATAGAAAAAGTACAAGTTGCAGAATAGTATTTTTAAGTATTCCAATTGTTTTTTTTTTCTTTTTTATTGAATACTAGAGGCCTGGTGCACGAATTCATGCATGGGTGGGGACCGGCTGACCCACCCAGATGGGGGCTGATCGGGGGTAGGGCCAGCCAGAGGGAGGGGCTTTGGGTGGTTGGCTAGCCGGCCCTGCCTCTGATTGCGGGGGGTGGGGGGGTGGGCGATCAGGGGTGGGACTGCCCCCCCCCCCCCATCAGTCCAGTTGGCCAGCCGCAGTACATGTCATAGCAACCAGTTGTTCCGGTCATTCCGTTGTTCTGGTTGCGTGGCTTTTATATATATAGATATTGGGATAACATTGGTTAATAAAATTATATGTTTCAAGGGTACAATTCTACAATACATCATCTGTACATTGTATTGTGTGTTCACCACCCCAAGTCCCATTTGTGTTTTTAAAAGGGGAGGATGGAAGAGAGAGTATGTTTTTAATGCCCAGAACATTCTGAAATAAAACACAAGGAAGTGTGGTTACCTCTGAGGAATGCCAATGGAGAGATGTGGCAGCTGAAGGCATCAGGAATGCAGGGAGAGTAGAAACTTTTCCTTTTCATTTTATATTCTTGTACACTGTTTTAATTTTTATAACCATGAACTTTTTGAAAAATATATTTTTATCGATTTCTGAGAGGAAGGGAGAGGGAGAGAGAAATATCAATGATGAAGGAGAATCACCGATTGGCTGTCTCCTGTATGCCTCCCCACTGGAGTTGCAGCCCACAGCCCGAGCATGTGCCCTTGACCAGAATCAAACCCAGAACCCTTCAGTCTGCAGGCTGACGCTCTATCCACTGAGCCAAACCGGCTAGGGCTATAACCGTGTACTTTTAATACTTTAAATCTTTTTTAAAGGCCTGGATTAGTCCAGTCCTTATCAGCCTCCACCAGGGTGTACCATGCATGGCCAGGGCCAGAAAGTGCAGAAGGGGAGGGTGCAGCCCATCAACCTCATCTGCAGACCCTTGCAGAATAGCTCTCCAATTTGGGTGTGGCTTTAAGGGTAAGTGACCTTGCAGATGGAGGGTTTCGATGAGTATATGAACCTCGTACTAGATGATGCAGAAGAGGTTCATTCTAAAACAAAGTCAAGAAAACAACTGGGTCAGATCATACTAAAAGGAGATATTGCTCTGCTCCAAAGTGGAAATGACTAATAACATGAGAAATTGTTGAGAAGGCAATACAGGTTGTGGTTTTTAGGTGTCCTTTGTTGGGAGTATAGTTCTTAAACATTTATTCATATTGCTTTGATTACCCTTGTGTTATTACCAGATGGCAATAAATGCTGTCAGATTGTTTTTATTTAAAAAAAAAAAAAATACTATTCCTGGCTGGTGTGGCTCAGTGGTTGAGCAGCGTTGACCTATGAACCAGGAGGTCACGGTTCAATTCCTGGTCAGGGCACATGCCTGGGTTGCGGGCTCAGTTCCCAGTGGGGGGCATGCAGGAGGCAGCCGATCAATGATTCTCTCTCAACATTGATGTTTCTGTCTCTCCCTCTCCGTTCCTCTCTGAAATCAATAAAAATACATTTTTTAAAAATACCAGTTTTGTGTGTGTGTATGTATAAAACTCATTCTTCTACCACACCCAAAAACATATGTTTTGGTAACATATTACCTAAAGATCTAGAACCTTTTACCTTGACAAGCCAGGAGTCCCAGGCCTACCTCTTTTTATTCTTCATACACTGCTTAATATTTTTGAGATTTCCTAACACCTTAAATGCTGTTAGGAAGTGAAGTATAGTTAAGTCTGTAAGCCATCTTAAATGTTGTCAAAATGAAATATAGTTAAGTCTGTAAGCCATCTTTCTGCACTGTATACTCTTTTAAATGGAGTGTAAGGAACAGGTTTCTTTTCTTTAGCACTTTTCTAAACCACAGCTGTGGCTGTGGCCTGTTCTTCCTCTCTGCCAATTGTAATACTCAGGCTGATGGCCTGCTGGGGTCTGTACCATCTCAAATCAGGAACCATGGCTGAAATGCCTTCTGTTAATCACCTTAGAGATGTTTCAGAGACTGCTTTGTCCTGCACCAGAGAACAGCAGAGGCGGAATTACTCCTGTAGGAACTTGGTCCATCCTTGGAAAAATCGCCCAGATTTTAAACCCGTTGTTGCTTCTCCTGGTTAAAGAAAAATAATATCTCAGTTTTCAACAGTTTGTAAAAGCAACCCTTCGTTTCAAGGAAATATAGGGTTTGGGCTTTCCTAACACTGCTCCAGCCTTTTTCTCAATTTTGCAGCAATTCTTCAGTGAGGCCCAGGAAGCACAGGGAAGTGTGTGTGTTGGGGGAAGGGCATTTGGATGAGCAAAGTGAGTGGGGCAACAGAGTGGGGTGGGGAGTGGAGTGGAGAGTGATTTGCATTCTTCACGGTGGTGTTTTTTTTTTGTTTTTTATTTATTTATTTATTTATTTATTTTACGGTGGTGTTTTTAACAAAGCCCATGGTGGGCAACTAGAGACCAGATGCAAAGGTGGCAAATATATTTTAAAAATGTGGTCCTCGCTCTAATTTTAGGATTAGACTGCTGCTGCTGCCTCTTGAATATGGTGAGATACTAACATTTAAAATCCTGCAAATTATGCTTCATTTCTCATTGCTGCTCTGTGATTTCATCACGTGGGGTTCTAGGTTGTAGGGATGATGCTTATAAAGCTACAACCCAAAGGGAAGCATTAAAAAATCTAAAAATAGCCATTCCATACAATTATAAATAATTTGAGAAAAAGCAAGTCCGTTGGGTGTATTTCCCCAATACTATAAAGCCCTCCATAAGTTTTTTGGTTTTTTTAACCTTATTTCTTTTCTCCTCATCATTGCCCTCATACAGCACAGATATTCCCATACATCTCCTGGCCCAGCGGTCGAACGACCCTTTCACAGGGGTCGCCTAAGACCATCCTGCATATCAGATATTTACATTACGATTCATAACAGTAGCAACATGACAGTTATGAAGTAGCAACGAAAATAACTTTATGGTTGGGTCACAACATGAGGAACTGTGTTTAAAGGGCCAGAAGGTTGAGAACCACTGTGACCTGGCCAGACTGCTCTCTAGACTCCTCTCTTTATTTCTGCTCTTTGCTGTGAAATCTGACCTTTTAGAGCTATTTCCCCTGCCGTGGCCTGGCCCTCCTTGGAAGTGGGAGGCTAAGCCACAAAACTCTCAGGCTGTGGGGCAAAGGGGACAAGTCTATCTCATTACTCCAGCAGCCGCCTGCCATCGTCCTTGGAATCCAGTAAAACTATTTTCATGTTGAATGGGGGGTAGAAATGTGGCTGGGGAAAAGTTTTATTTGGGGCACTTACATTTAAAGGTCCCAGACTAGTTTCTGGACTTTTCTTCCCCTGTGATTTCATGATTGGAACTTGTATGTGGCTCAGAGGAGAACAGCAAGCTTGGGGACAACCCTGAAGAGAGAGACATCTCTGCTTCTGTAGGCATCCCCCAAAGCGTCAAAGGTCCTTGCTTTTTGCTCACCTGCCCTATGTGGGGCAAATGACTTACTGTTCTGTCTATCAGGCTTGAAGCTGAGAAATCCAAGGGGATGGAGAGACAGGTAGGAAGGATCAATGTTGAGAGAGAGGCAGTTTGGATGAACTCTCTTGTCTGATTTACCCCTACCCTACCCCCACCTACCCCCTGGCAAGGAGAGGTGTTTGCCAATAGTGTTAACCCCCTGTGAATGCCGGCAAATGTCAAACCCTGGGTGCCGCCCACTTCCTCTATTAACCTAAGCTTTATGTACTGGGGCAAAACTCCCAACTCTCCAAACTTAGGTTCCCTTATGTAAAATGGGGATAAAATATAAAATTTCTTCACAAGGTTCTTGTCAGGATTAAATGAAGTAACGTCTTTGAAAGGGTGTCCTCAACTATAAAGTGATACAGAAATGTTATTTTATAATTTTAAAAATCTATGTGTAAAGGTTTCCCCTCTAGATCTCAGATTATTTGACAGATTTGTAACACTGTATATAATTATAGATTCCTAACATTATATAGTATATATATTTTAGATTCCTAACATTATATATATATGATTCAAATGCTTTTAGCTGGAACTACATCACTGAGAAGTTGGAGTAATGAGATATCATGTAACTAGGAGGATGTTGGTCTTCATTCCCAACCAAGACGGAGGATTTGCCCTGCGGCTAATGGAGCTTAAGCTTCGGGACTAAGCGGTTTCATCCAAAGCCCTGTACTGAACCCTGTATTCATTGTTTTGTATTCTTCTTTCTAAGGAGGACCCTCCATGTTTTAAAAAGCTTTCCTTGGCCTGATGGCTGACTTGAGGGTCGTCCTGGACACCAAAAGGTTGTGGGTTTGAATCTGGGTCAAGGACACGAACCTAACTAAGTTGCAGGTTCGATCCCCTGTTGGGCTTGTACAGGAGGCAACTAATCGATATTTCTCTCTTACATTGATGTTTCTCTCTCTCCCTTCCTCTCTCTCTCTAAAATCCTCAGGTGAGGATTTTAAAAATAAAAAAAGCTTCAGGTACCACAAATCTTGCGCCTAACACACTAGCATAAAAGAACATTCTGGCCCTGGCCAGAGTAGCTCAGTGGTTAGAGTGCTGGCCCCCACACCGAAGTGTCTTGGGTTGAATTCCCAGGCAAGGGCATGTATCTGGGTTGCAGGTTCCATCCTCCAGCCCAGTCAGGGCGTGTGCAGAGGCAACAAATCAATGTGTCTCTTTCACATCAATGTTTCTCTCTTTTTCTCTTCCCTTCGGCTCTCTCTAAAAATCAATGGAAAAAAACATCCTTGGGCCCTGTCAGCATGGCTCAATGATTGAGCGTCAACCTATGAACCAGGAGGTCATGGTTCAACACTTGATCAGGGCACTTGCCTGGGTTGTGGGCTGGATCACCAGTGTGGGGTGTGCTGGAGACAGTCAATCAGTGATTCTCTCTCATCATTGATGTTTCTATGTCTTTCTCCTTCTCCCTTCCTCTCTGAAATCAATAAAAATATATTAAAAAGAAAAGAAAAGAAAAAATACCCTCGGGTGAGGATTAACCAAGAAGAAGAAGAAGAAGGAAGAGGAAGAGGAGGAGGAAGAGGAGGAGGAGGGGAGGAGGAGGAGGAGGAGGAGGAGGAGGAGGAGGAGAAAAAGAAGACGATTCTGTGCTTCTACATTTTAGGAGAATTTGGAGCCTGCTCTTGTCTTCTCTTGGTATGTCCTTCCTTCTTTGATCATTCTCTTGTATCATTTTAGTCCCTTCCCTCTTCCTAAACTCAAATGTATTTTCACTTCTCTCCAATTATCTAATTCATTAACAGTCATGCAGCTGGGTGAATACACACACACACACACACACACACACACACACACACTCACTCCTAGCAAGAGATGAATTTAGAAATAGGAAACAGTGTGTTCAAGGATAGCACCATTCATCCCAAATGACTCAGAGAGAGCTATTCTCAGTCAGTGTGGAGCCCTTGGGGTGAAAACAGAGTAGAGGTGGGAAGAATTATTTTATTCAATAATGCCAGGGATATAGATTTTCCAGGAGTGGATCCAAAAGCACTATTAATAGGAAGAGAGTGTTTTCCTCATGTGATATTAGGCCAGGTTGTCTTTGGGAGAAATGGAATGCTCCATGCGGTAAGGTGTGCTCGCCCTTGGGTGATTCAGAGGGAATCTGACCACAGCCCTTTCTGGTCAAAGAACTCCCTGGAAGCAAGCAGGGCACCAGGGTCCTCCCCCAAGGAGTAGGAACCCAAGCTCACTCTTAGCAACACACACACACACACACACACAATTCTGAGCCAACAAAGAAATGTCTTCAGTGACATCAGGCTGAAGCCTGGGGTAGTAAATAGTTGGGGATATAGAGGACAGATCCCAACTGTTGAAAGAATTGTGATTTTCAAAATAAGGTCTGGGAGACATCAGACTGGGAGGGGGCAGGAGACAGACACTCAAAAATTGGAGAATTGAGGAAATATTCTCAGAAGGCCCAAGCCAAGAGGACTTGCCCCACCCTACCCTCACCCTGAGCGGCATGAGGAAGAGAGTCAGAAGAAGGCAGACCCTCCAGCCCTGTTAACTGGGCTGCTTGAGGCTGCTTCTCTGGCATTTCAATAAAAGCACAGGCTGAGCCCCTGTGGCCAGCTGAATAATAGCTCTCCAAGATAGCAGGTCCTAATCCTGGACCTTGTAAGTGTTGCCTGATATGGAAAAAGTATCTTTGCAAATATGATTGAGATGTGATTAAGGAGCTGGTCCTGGACGATCCAGGTGGGCTCTAAATGC